GCATCGTTGACGATGATGGCCTGGTGACGATTGGAATCCTTCGGGTACAGTGTGAAAACAGTGACAGACGAATTTGCTGCCGAGATCGTCATTCCGCGCTGAGTGAAGAAGTTTTCGACGTCAGGCAGGAAGTCCGGGAGGAGCTGCGCAGCCTGGGAACCACAGCAGACGCGTCTTCGTCGCGTTCCCATCCGCCCCATGGCCGCCATCTTCTGCTACACCAATCTCCTGACGTTGCCAGGGCATACGTCGGAAGCCTCGGCGCTTAGTACGTGGAGTGGATGCGCAGCCTCAGCAAATTGCTCAACCATTTTAAATTGTCGCTGTATTATTATACCAGCTAAAAAAAATACAAGAAACACCGGCAGATGAAGAGAGCATTCGGAGGATACCTTTAAAAAGTCAACAGGTCTTTTTTAAACAATTCTGGAGAAATAACCGGAGGGCAGTAGAGAAGGCAGTAGAAGAAAACTAAGGCATCTATTAATCGACAGATTAGGGCTTGAGGGTGTGTAATATGAACGTAACTGACAGATATATCACAGGTGGTTAAGTAAGTTAAACCCTAGAAACTGCGATCTTCAGGCCATGGTCCTTAGGTAAGAAGAAGTCAGTGGGGGCCAGAATAGTAGGCATAGTTTATTTTGTGTACAGAGGAACGAAGAATAAGCAGGAAGAAGTTCGACTTCAGATCACACGACCAGCCAAGAGGTTAGACTGGTCCTAAGTGCGGGTTTAGCAGCAGGCATGCCAGCGGCCAGCGGTCATTGAGTGTGTCTGCCTACGCGTGCAGGCGCGTGATTCGTTCCCGGGCCGGGGGCCAGCGTTGCGGCATCTGTGATTGGCTGTTCCCAGAAATCGAGAACAGCCGCCGTGAGATTTGACAAAGTTCGCTTCGACGCGAGCTAGACACGACAGATACAATATTAGAAGGGGGCAGAATTGTTAGAATATGGAATTCGTATATCTTATAAACACGCCAGAACTATTCACCCAAGTGCCTCTGAAGTGAATGCTGTGGAGTTTCGCG